AAAGGGAAATGACTAAATGAATTCGACCCAAAGAAAATTCGTTAATGTTCTTTTTCTGAGTGTGATGCAAAAGATAATATATATAATATGTTTGATGAATGTGTTTCACTGAAATGAAATAACTGAAAGGAATGAAAGGAAATAAAAGTACGTAATTATACGTGATGAGAGGGCGTCGTATCATTGCACTGATGGATTTGCAGCCTTATGTGTGCTTTGTAATTTACCACATTTAAGTTCTTATGAATAGCCTTGGGGCAACTAACCGAACCAGTAAATGAGTATTTCTTCGTGCATGCTTGCTCATCATTATTCTCATCATTCCAGCTTATTGATGAGCAAGCTCTGTTACGCGGAAAACCAGCCTAGGCAATATGCTCAACCAATAGCATTCATCGATTTCAAGAGGAGCAACAATTTCATTTGTAAACTCTTAATGAATGATTTTAAAACTGAAGATTTCCGATAATTCCTCGGACATTGAGGATATCTTCGATTCAAACAGCTACATAATAATTCACACACGTTTATGGACGATGTACCTTCATTATATTCATAATGTGTACCAGCAGCACGAGAATAGCACCTTTTCGTGTTCATTGTATTGTCTATGGAATATTGAATATCAAGTGTGAAAACAACATCAACGGGTGGTCAAGTCTCTCAATCACTCCACTCACTTCATTAGAGCCTCAGCAACATATTGACCCTCAACTTTAACCTCTTCAGTTTCCTTTATCCCAACATTCACTTCCTTCAGGTATACTTTTACTTGCTCTCTCACATCTTAAACCTTTCAAGATAGTATCTCGTTTCGCGCCATCTACGTACTTACCTCACCTTCTTTCGTTACTGAAAGATATTGGATATAAAATTACTAGGAGTAACAATTCTCACTATTGTACATCTTAAGAAATATATGTATGTATCCAAACCAGAATTAGGAAAGGAATCTCAAGAAACATCGAGTAATCAAGGCATCGCCAATGCTATCCGTTACAGCTGAACAACAACTAGATTTTATTAGAGCGTGGTGAGTGCAAGAGATAGAGGGAAAAGAGAAAAACACACAAGCAAACGTCACCGTTAGTGAGTGAATCAGTTTGATTACGGTATCATTCAGACAACTTTTATTGGCTTGCTGAGCAGGTGAGCAGCATTTGGATGGATTGGCTGAAAGGAACAGGGACAGAATCATACCGAATTTTAATGTTACTATCAAGAATCAACCCAAACGATCAAATGATCTNTGAAAGATATTGGATATAAAATTACTAGGAGTAACAATTCTCACTATTGTACATCTTAAGAAATATATGCATGTATCCAAAGCAGAATTAGGAAAGGAATCTCAAGAAAC